ATGGATGTGAGACTTGGACCATAAAGAAGGCTGAGCACCAAAGAATTGATTCTTTTGAACTGTGGTGCTGGAGAAGACTCTTGAGTCCCTTGAACAGCAAGGAGATCCAACTAGTCAATCCTAAAGGAAATCAGTCCTGAATACTGATTCAATACTGATACAAACTCCAATACTTTGGCCACCTGATGCAAAGAACTGACTCATTGGAAAAGACTCTGATGTTGGGTAAGATTGAGGGCAGGAGGAGAACGGGGTGACAGAGGGTGAGATGATTTGATGGCATCATTCACTCAATGGACATGAGTTTGAGCAAGCTCTGGGACATAGTGAAGGACAAGGAAGCCTGGCGTGCTGCAGTCCATGGGGCCACAAAGAGTCAGACATGACTTAGAAACTGAACAACCTGAAGAATTTTATGCTGCTTCCTCCTTGTCCTCAAAGTTCCTGATTAAAAAAAACCCACTGTTATTCCAATTCCTTTTCCCTGCAGGTGATGTGCTATGCCAAGTTGCTTCAGTTGTGTCCAACTTTTGACATCTGGTCCCACCACTCCATGGCAAATTGATGGGTAAACAATGGAAACAGTGACAGACTTGATTTTCTTGGGCTCCAAGATCACTGCAGATGGTGACTGCAGCCATGAAATTAAAAGATGCTTGCTCCTTGGAACAAAATCTATGACCAACCCAGACAACTTATTAAAAAGCAGAGATATTTGCTGACAAAGGTCCATATAATCAAAGCTATAGTTTCTCCAGTGGTCATGTACAGATATGAGAGTTGGACCATAAAGAAAGCTGAGCACCGAAGAATTGATGCTTTTGAACTGTGGTGTTGGAGAATACTCTTGAGAGTCCCTTGGATTGCAATGAGATCAAACAAGTCCATCCTAAAGGAAATCAACCCTAAATATTCATTGGAAGGACTGATGTTGAAGCTGAAACTCCAATACTTTGCCACCTAATGCGAAGAACTGACTCATTTGAGAAGACCCTGATGCTGGGAAAGATTGAAGGCAGGAGAAGAAGGGGATGACAGAGGATGAGATGGTTGGATGGCATCACTGACTCGATGGACATGGGTTTGAGTAAACTCCAGGAGTTGTGATGGACAGGGAGGTGTGGTATGCTGCAGTCCATGGGGTCACAAAGAGTCAGACACGACTGAGCAACTGAATTGAACTGAACTTGCTAAGATCATTCAAAATTAAGAATATAAAATTACTAAAGGGCCTTAGAAGAGCCTGTGCAATAAGGGGCTGGGAAGTTTAAACTTCACTGGCTTCATGATAAATCTGCTTTGTTAGGCTTTGAATATCTCAAATGCTTGGCTCTACCCCAAAACTGCTAAGCCAGCTTTGGGGTGTGTGGTCACCAGTCTCATGTGTTGCTTTAAACATTTTCTGGCTGGTTCTGATGCACATGTAGGAACAAGAACCTCAGATGTGAAGCAAGCAGGATCCACCCCACTTGAAATATGGCACCTAGGAATACAGTCCTCTAAATGCAGGCTTCCAGCTGAAACAAATGTAGGTATATGTGTGTGTGCAAGACCCAAAAACACTCGGACATGCATATTCTGGCTGCACAGAGGCTGCAGTGATGCAGAGATGGGCAGAGACAACATTCTCTTGGGTCAGAATCTTAGCGGTCTCGAAGGTGGAACTCAGTCCTGAGCTGATAAGGCTCTGGGGGCCAGTCCCAGCCAGAGGTCCTGGGTGCCCACCCTTCTGGGGAACTGGCGGTAGAGGCACCCTGCCGGAAGGAGAGCCCAGGTCGACTCAGCACGTAAACATGTAATTGGAAAATGGTGGATTAACAATTTTGCCTCTAACTAATTTTATGACCTCAGGTAAATCAGTGTATCACCCTGAACCTCAGTTTCCATAAATGTGAACTTGGAATAATAAAAATATTTTGCCTCTGGGTTTGTTCCAGGATAAAATAAAATTGTGGACCTGAGGATCTAAAAATCACTCTTTGGATACAAACAAGGAAAGATTCTAAATGAAGTTTTTTTCAACTATTGCCTGGAATTTTTATAATCTTGAAGTGAAAAAGGTCTTTCTTAGCATACCAACTGAGAATTCACAAATGAAAAGATGACAGATCTGTTGACAGTGACCTTTGTTGAAAGAGAAAGAATAAAAAAGGGAAGCTATTCACTGTTTGCAACTTACTTGGTGTGGTAGCCAACCTCAGGGATGGCCGCAAGGACCCACCGGATCTCTCCTGAGTAGCCCCTTCCCACACCTGAAGGGCTGGCCTAGGTAACGGGATGACACCAGAAAGGATACAGGGAGACTTCCAAGGCGCATCCTCCGTGTGCCCAGGAAATGCCTGGGGGACTCCGAGTCCACCCAACAGCAACTACACCCAAGCCTGAGGTCCGAGTCCCGCCGCAGAGCCTGGAGGTCCTCCTGGTGGGGATGCCCAATGCAGCGGCCGGGTGCATGCCCAATGCGGGTAGAGGCCAGGCTGGGCAGGGCCGCGGGGAGCGAGTCCAGCCTGGAGGGCTTGGACCCTTGGACAGAGATCCCTCCTCTTGAGGCAATGCTGAGGCCTCAAGTCCCAGGGGCCCCTCCCACCCACTGCTCAGACCCCTCGGGGCTCTGGCCGCCCCTCTCACCTGTGCGGGCGGGGGGGTCTCTCCATTCCTGCCCACCTGCTTCTAGCTTAACACCGAGCCCGGGCCCCTGCCACCCCAGATCGGACCTGACGAGGCTGGACAAGGCTCCTCTGCTCCTGGAGGCCATACAAGGTGGACACTCTGGCTTCACACCCAGGGCAGGAGCCCAAGGCTCTAGGGATCACAAGAGGGCAAGCCTCGGCGGGAGAGAAGGCAGTGGTGCAAGCCCCCCGGTGAGGTGTTCCAGGGGTTGTAGACAGAGGAGGGCCCAGGGAGGCACGGGGGGTGGGGGGCGCGGGAGCCACCGCCCTTGGGGAGCTGCGAGGAAGAGGCTGCTGCCCCCTCTCCTCCAGAGGCTTGAGGTCAGACCCGAGCCCCTGACCCATGGCGTCTGAGTCCCCCGCGGGTCTCCATGCTGGACTTGGAAGAAGATGGACCAGAAAGCCTGCCTCCATCTCCCCATCCACCTCGCAAACTCATCTCTTTCAAGCTCCCGTGGAGGACCCCGCTCTGAACCCCACAAAGCCTTCTCTGGCAGGAGCCACGCGACCCTCAGCCCCGCCTCCCGCTGTCTTTGGTGGGCTCCCGGCTCGCTGTGCTTTGACCCTGGAGGCCAGTAGCTCTGACCCCTCCCGCCTGCTTAGGCAGGACTGAGTATCCACCAGCACAGCTCACCCTTCGGGCTGCAAACTCCGCGAGGGCTGAGAGCGCGTCTGTCTCTTGTGCTCTGATGCTGTGCAGAACTCTTGACAAAGGAGGCTCTCAACATGCTCCTAAGTGAACTGACCTGCCCACTCATCTGTCTTGTGTCCGTGACCCCCTGCACTCTCCCTGGGGAAGGGATGCATGCGCCCCGAGCTGCATCAAGGTGCCTCCCCAACCTGGACACCCAGGTTCAGTCCCCGATGAAGCACCCTGCCGCCTGGGGGTCTGAAGCACAGTGCTCCCCAACCTGCTGTCAGAATCTAACTGTAGCGGGATTGTGGGGGACGCGCGTGCCCCCCGACTGCTGCGCCGCCTGTGGGGCTCACCCAGCACCATTGGGGAGGATGTCGATTTCCTCCCTGCACGAGCAGCAGCGCTCACACAGGCTCAGTGTTCACTGACTCAGGGGAGGGACTCGGGGACCCTGCTCCAGGTAGGACGCCCACGGTCCCCTGCAGAGCCAAGTCCATGCTTCTGGATTCTGGGAAGCAAAGACTAAAGTCACGGTTGAAACTGGAGTTGCTTGTGGCTTACAACCAGCAAAAAGGCCACAGTCTCTCTCTTGTGTGGCCTTGGTTCCCACCTCTGTGGCCTGGAGCCTGTGACGGGGGTGCCCCTCACGCCCCAGGACTGTGTGCCTCAGGGGGGCCAGCCCAGCGTCCTAGGCCATTGCTCTGATGAATAGTCCTGCCCCATGGTCGCTTGTTGTGCCTGAAATTCCTCCCAACCCAAGCCTCCTGGTCCTGGATGAGGCTGACTTGGACCACACGTCCTCAACTGTCCAGCAGAGGTGCTAACTCGGTGCTCCCACTTGAGTCCACAAGCTCCATGTTTTTAATTCTCCTGAGATTTTTTGGACTGTTTTCTAGTTTTGTCAAATAATATTGCTAATATCCAGGACTGTGGGTGAGAAATCATAAGATAACAGGATAATAAATCCATCCTCCAGGGAGAAAGGGAACTTCAGGAAGACAAAGGACACCCCCAGGGCACTCTCACCCCAGGACACTTGATTCTAGATGATGGTTCTTGCTCCCTGTGACCTGACCGAACCTGCCTTTGAGGACAATAGGAAACTAGCAGGCCATAAAAATGCACAAGTTCAGCCCCAAGCCCTTCCTGCTCCTAAAAATACAGCCAATTCCTGCAGCAGCTATTTTGGACAACAAACTGCTTCCTCAACATGAAAAGGCCCCGTGGCCATAAACAGGATTTCAGACCCAGACTCCGTCAGACAGGGGTCAGGGCCCAGGTCCACTCTATCCCCTGGGAGCCATGGTTTTCCGGGGCCAGGGGCGGGGGAGGAGCGGTATCTCTGTTTTTCTTAGTTGTATTTTGTTTTTAAATATAAACTAACTCAGAAAAGGTGGGGCTTGGAGAAGGATGTGGAGCAGGGCTAGGAGGACTTGTCAAGACTCTAGGATCTGAGCGCCTGTTTGGACGCATAGCTGCTCCATCAGCAAACTCCGTCAGCTTTGCCCTAGGAAGCCGGCCTGGTCTGTTCGATCCAGAAACCCTCTGACTTCAACACAGGGACTCGGGACCCCAAGCAGGTCAATATCATGGTACTCTTCCCAGGGGATTTCCCAAGACCTTCCTGTTTTTCCACAGACGTGACCCCTGATGAGAGGCTTGACTGAGCAAAGGTTGGTCCTGTTTCTCTTCACAGCGACATCCCTCTTTTGATGTTGCTCCAGGGCCCCTGGCTCCTGGCGGTCCTTCTCCTGGCTCCTGAGAGAGGCAGACGCGGAGGGACGTGAGTCCATCCACAGGCAGCCCAGGCCGTCCACGTGGTGCAAGCTGAGGCAGGGGGCCACCCTCGCTTCCCAGCTCCCCGTGGGTCCTGCCCCCTGAAAAACTGGCTTCACTTCTCCGTTCCTTTCTCGCCATCAGCGGAGCAAAACTGCGACCTTGGCCCCCAGACCTCCTCATGCACGCAGAGTGCTACAGCCACCTCCCCCCAGAGCGGCAGTGTCTGCTCTCCTGTGCAGACCTGGGCCCCCTTCCGTCTCCAAAACAAGTCCCGGCCTCCCCTCACGAGCCCTGCCCTCTCTTCCTCCAGGAAGCCTGGGCAGACATGGTTTATTCCAAGAACTCCTCTGGGTCCGCCTGCTTATGACCAACCCTGGGGGTTGAGGAGTTCTGTCTGCTTAGAGAAATGTTAGATCAGGAGGCTGCAACTCTCCAGTGGTTTAGAATGAGTTCATCAATTTTCACTTTGCTGTGCTTAGCCTAAGGCAGTAACCTCCCCCACCCCCAAAGAGAAAGGTAACGTAGAAAGATGTCCATTAGAACTGTAATAGTAGTGACCCTTTAAAAAGAAAAAAAATTCTAAATGTCACACAGGAGTTTGGCAATGCCAATTATCATTGTAAAAATATTAGGACTCAAAACTGGGTTTTCCAGAGACAAAAGCAAACAGGTAGGTCAATCTAAAAAACCTGAAATGAGGATAGTATTGGCCCTACACACTTGGCCAGGCGATCAAAATTTACATCACAGGTGGAAGCTCTCGTTAACTGGGTTTGATAAGAAGGGTGCTTCTCTGTGACTTTCTTCCCTAGAACTCATGACCCCAGTATAACCATGAGGAAAACATCAGACACATTTACAAACATTCTACAAAAACCCTCAAGCAGAACTCCTCAGAACTACCCAAGTCATTGAAAAAAATAGACTGAGGAGCTGCCCCAACTCAGAGGAGCTGAGGGAGCTGTGACTGTGCACCATGGCCCCTGGATGAGATTGGGAAAGGAAAAAAGGACTTGACGGGGAAAAAGGTGAAATCCCAGTAAAGTCAGGAGTGGAGTTCATGTGCCAAGCAGTTTCCTTAGAGTTGACAAATGCATTCTGGTCATCGTCTAAGATGTTGAGAAAAGGAGGCTGAGGGAAGAGTGTAGGAAACCTTATACTATCTTTGCAACTGTTCTGTAAATCTAAAATTATTCCAAAATGACCATTATTTTAGTGGTGTTGGCCTTATCAAGAGCAATACTAGATACCTAAGATAATACCAAAAAGTTATGTGAATGAATCATTTCCACCAAGAACTTCATGCCAAGCTATGGTTTTTCCAGTAGTTATGTACAAATGTGAGATTCGGACCATAAAGAAGGCTGTGCGCCAAAGAATTGATGCTTTCAAACTATGGTGTTGGAGAAGACTCTTGAGAGTCCTTTGAACAACAAGGAGATCAAACCAGTCAATCCTAAAGGAAATCAATCCTGAATATTCATTGGAAGAAATGATGCTGAAGCTGAAATTCCAATACTTTGGCACCTGATGGGAAGAACTGACTCATTGGAAAAGACCCTAATGCTGGGAAATGTTGAAGGTGGGAGGAGAAGGGGACGACAGAGGATGAGATGGTTGGATGGCATCACCGACTCAATGGACATGAATTTGAACTCCTGGAGAAAGAAATGGCAACCCACCACAATATTCTTGTCTGGGAAATCCCATGGACAGAAGCCTGGTGGGCTATAGTCCATGGGGTCATGAAGAACTGGACACGACTAAAGCGGCTGGGCACAGCTGAGCACGGCACATCCTACCACAGAGACCAGTTTCATGAGTTGATTTTAAAGTAGTGGCCGTTGTTTATTTTTTATTTAAGGTGCATTTCATGCAGTAGAAAAAAATTCCCGAATCCCTGACCGTAAACCTGGCCACCTAAGTAGCCTCCTCTTCTGCACCCAAAATGCCACCCTACCCCGCCCCTTCCTGCAGCACCGGGACGTGCCTTCCCCGTAGGACCGGTCCCAGCGGGCATTCCCGGCAGGGCCTGTTGCTGCTGCAGCCGCACTCCTCGTTCCTGAACAAGCTCAGCTGCTGGAAAACACGCGGGCTTCTGTCCGCGTGCTGAGGATGGCCACACGGGACAAGCCCTGTCCCGGTTCTGCCTTTCCCTTCAGCCCCCGCGGCCGCCCCAGCTCGTCTTTTCTGCAGAGCCCTGGCAGGAGCGGGCCACTGTGTCCCCGTCCTGCCTGTCCCCTGCTCTGTTTCGAATCAGCTCTCCTCAGGCATCAGCCCTTGGCTCCCCTGGGCAAGCCTCAGGCCTAACCCTTGTCCCGACACCTGCAATCGGCGCTCGGTCCCGGGCCTGCAGCTCTGGCCCCCAGCCACGTGACCTCAGCTCCGGGCCCTGCCCCCCATCCTCCTCCCCAGACTGTTTCCCTTCACCCTCAGCACCCCAACCCTGCATCTCGTCCACTGAGGAGCCCATATTTCGCGTAGAGCTCAGGCCCTCCCCACCCAGACCGGACCCTCCCGGGCACCTGTGTGTTCACACTGAGCTTGCCACCCACTGCTCCCAGCCCCCTTCCGAGGGGTGCTGACCACGTCTCCCCTCTGCATCACCCACACCTTCCCAAACCCCCACACCCGCCCTTGGCCTCCAGGACATGTCCACTTGTCCACTTTCTGTCTTCCCTCTGGGATGCCAGCCCCGGGTGTATTCAAAACATTTTCAGCTTCATTCCTAGTATGTCCCCAGTGCTGGGGAGTAACACCTGGAGAGAGACCACCCAGCGAGGGCTCAGTGAGCACCTAGTGAGGGCCCTTGAGCACCCAGCCAGGGCCCATGAACACCCAGCAAGGTCTCATGAGCACCCAGCCAGGGTCCAGTGAGCACCCAGAGAGTTCCACGAGTACCCAGCAAGGGCCCTTAAACACCAATGGAGGGCCCATGAGCACCCAGAGAGGGCTCACGCGCACCCAGCAAGGGCCCTTGAGCACACAGTGAGGGGCCATGAGCACCCAGACAGGGCCCAGTGAGCACCCAGCAAGGGCTCATAAGCACCCAGCCAGGGTCCAGTGAACACCCAGTGAGGGACTATGAGCACCCAGTGAGGGCCCATGAGCATCCAGCCAGGGCCCAGTGAGCACCCAGCCAGGGCCCATGAGCACACAACAAGGCCCTTGAGCACCCATGGAGGGCCCATGAGCACCCAGCCAGGGTCCAATGAGCACCCAGCCAGGGTCCACGAGCACCCAGCGAGGGCCCATGAGCACCCAGCGAAGGCTCATGAGCACCCAGCGAGGGCCCTTGAGCACCCAGCGAGGGCCCATGAGCACCCAGTGAGGGCCCATGAGCACCCAGCCAGGTCCCAGTGAGCACCCAGCGAGGGCCCAGTGAGCACCCAATGAGGGATCATGAGCACCCAGCCAAGGCCAAGTGAGGGCCCATGAGCAACCAGCCAGGGTCCAGTGAGCACCCAGTGAGGGCCCATGAGCACCCAGCCAGGTCCCAAGGAGTGCTCATGTGAGGCAGGGGCGGGAGGGGAGAGAAAAGCCCTCCTTTTTCTCAGAAGTGTTTGAGGTCCCATGACCCCCGCCTTATTATTGTAGGTCCTGTCATCTGTTTTCATTTTTCTTAGAATCCACATCCCTGTCATCTTGACAAAGGACTTCTAGGTACATTTTTCTCTCTCTTTTTGCAGTTACCGCACTCTGACAACACGCGTGAGAACACACGGGTCTCCTCGGGAAGGAGGAAGGGACACCGTGTCAGAACAGCGGGTCCTGTTTTCCTATTAAAGGCCCATCTTGCCTCTTCTGTCTTGGTGGTTTGGTCAGTCTGCCCCATGCTGACCGAAAGGGGAAGCCCTCTCAGAGACATGGAGCCCATCTCCCTTCCCTTTTAGAAAGCAAAGCCATCTGCAGCTGCATGTGGCAGGGTCATGGTGTAACGGGGGGATTTGCTGCTTACCCACCAAAGCTTACCCACCACTCGGGGTGGGGAGTCCACCTCCATCCCCAAGCTGCAGCGGCCATAACGAGCAGCAGAGATGCCTCCTGGGAGTGGACCCCCACTGGTCAGCTCAGGCTGTGGGTCGGTGTGCCGTTCTTTGAGTAAAACAGCGGGGCTCATGAGAAGTGCCTAGGAGTCAGGTGTGTTGTTTAGGAAACAAACTATGGAAAGGGAAGCTCTCTGAGAACCACAGCCCCTCAATGCCCTGCCAAGGCTGGAGGGTCCCGGTGGCCTGGGCCCAGCAGGGCGGGAGTCTGTCTGGCAGCAGCAGCGGGTGGGGGCCCCTGCAGGTTTAGTGTGAAGGTTGGCCCCAGACTCGCAAGCTCCCGGCAGGACGACGGCACCCTGCCAGATGCAGACTGGACGGGTCAGGTGTGGGCCCGAGAGGCATCTGGGTTTAACTTAGGGAGTGTGCAGTCAAGGCCACTCCCGTGGGACAGGGAGAGGGCCCTGGTCGGGGGGAGCGGGGGACACCTCGGTGGGAGCTGCTGGGACCCAGTGCAAGCCCAGGTCCACCACTCCAGCCCCCCCCAGGTTGGACTCTCTCCTGCAAATTCATACCCAATTGAGACCAAGCTTCTTAAAACTTCCTGTCCAGATATTCCCAAGTGCCTCAGTGTAAGTCAGAATATCTGGGTGTTTTTTAAACGTTAGCATCTTCCTCTGAGTATCAGGGTGCAGCTGAGACGCAGTGGGATTGTATCTAGCTACTCGCCTGCAGGAGGCCTTCCCTGGGTTTGTGTGAGAGGGCGGGCCAGGCCAGCAGCAGTTGGAAGAGAAGGAAGCGCTGCAATAAACACACCCAGATTCCAGAATGTTCCGTGACATCATCTGCACAATACTGGGTGTGCGGTGTTCAGCCGGCTCAGCTTGACCAGGGGCAGCGGGTGGGACAGTGACAGCACGGTCCTAGTGCTGAGAGGAGGGGCTCAGATGACACCCCCTCTCCTGGGATTCACGGCGGAGCCAGGTGGAGCTGGGGGGCAGGGGCTCGCGTGGAGGTGGGGGACTGCTGGACCCGAGGGCACCTCACAGATGCGGACGCCACAGGCAGGTGTAAGAAGGGAGACGGATGGACACAAGAGCCCGGGTGGCACCAGCACCCCTCAGCGGGCACAGCCCCAAAGTCAGAAATGGACAGCTTGCCAAAATGCACCTCATGTCTGCCACTCGACAATTTGTTCCTGATCAGACTCGAATTGTAAAATTAGAAATGCCTGGATTCTTTTTTTTTTTTTTCATTGAGGTAGAGTTTAAAAGCTGGCTTAAAACTTACCATTTAAAAAACTAAGATCATGGCATCCGGTCCCACCACTTCATGCAAATAGATGGGGAAACAATGGAAACAGTGGTCAGACTTAATTTTCTTGGGCTCGAAAATCACTTCAGATGGTGACTGCAGCCATGAACTTAAAAGACACTTGCTCCTTGGAACAAAAGCTATGACCAACTGAGACAGGATATTAAAAAGCAGAGACATTACTTTGCTGACAAAGGTCCATCTTGTCAAAGCTATGGTTTTCCCAGTCGTCATGGATGAATGTGAGAATTGGACAACAGAGAAGGCTGAGCATCGAAGAATTGATACTTTTGAACTGTGGTGTTGGAGGAGACTCTTGAGAGTCCCTTGGACTGCAAGGAGATCCAACCAGTCAATTCTAAAGGAAATCAGTCCTAAATATTCATTGGAAGGACTGATGCTGAAGCTGAAATTCCAATAGTTTGGCCATCTGATTCGAAGAATTGACTCATTTGAAAAGACCCTGATGCTGGGAAAGATTGAAGGTGGGAGGAAAAGGGGGTGACAGAAGATGAGATGGTTGGATGGCGTCACCGACTCAATGGACGTGAGTTTCAACAAGCTCCAGGAGTTGGTGATGGACAGGGAGGCCTGGGGTGCTGCAGTCCATGGGGTCACAGAGAGTCCGACACGACTGAGTGACTGAACTGAACTAAGCAGTTTAGATAGTTCCCTTCCCTCTGCGTCATCCCCAGCTTCTGTTGTCTGTGGTCCTTTGATGATGACCATCCGGACAGGTGTGAGGTGATATCTCATTGTGATTTTTTTTTTTTTTTGCATTTCCCTGATGATTAGCACCTGTTGGCCATCTGTATGTCTTCTTTGGGAAAATGTCTATTCAGGTCTTCTGCCCACTTTTTTAATAAGGTTGTTTGTTTTTTGATATTGAGTTGTGGTATAAGCTATTTATATAATTTGCATATGATTCCTATTTGATTGTATCATATTAAAATATTTTTTCCCCATTCAGTATGTTGTCTTTTCATTTTGTGAGTGATTTTCTTTGTTGTACCAAACATTTTAAGTCTAATTAGGTCCCATTTGTTTATTTTTGTTTTTGTTTTCTTTACTTTTTAGGATTTTTTTTTTTAAAGAAGACAAACATTTGTATGAAGTGAAGTGAAAGTTGCTCAGCCATGTTTGACTGTTTGCAACCTCATGAACATCCATGGAATCCTCCAGGCCAGAATACTGGCGTGGGTAGCCTTTCCCTTCTCCAGGGGATTGTCCCAACCCAGGGATCGAACCCAGGTCTCCAGCCCTGCAGGTGGATTCTTTACCAGCTGAGCTACAAGGGAATCCCATATTTTTGTATATTTTTCTTAAAGCTATATGAGTGGTAAATTCCCCTGAGGAAGAGAGGGCCATGAATATGGTAAGTGGATGTACAATCCAGCCTCGCCATGGACGTGGACAGCCTGGCAGCCTCCTGAAAGGTGGAAGTATGCAGGACTCATGAGGGCCCAGGAGAGAGCTATGTCTGCCTTTGATGATTGAGTTTGGGAGCTGGGAGCCCACGCACTTGAGGACTGGCCCAGAGACCAAGGCGCCCAGCCCAGTGGCGGCACAGATAAGCCAGCACTTCCCGGGCAACGCCTGGTACTCAGACACTCTGGAGAAGGAGCGCAGACAGACATCTGCAAGAGGAACGCACGCGGTTCTGCCTGTCTTGGTTTCTGTGGCTCTTTGTCACTGGGTCAGAAGGACGCGGGCCTGCCTCCCCTCCGGCCCTGTGACCCTGCGGCTCCGTCAGTGCCTCTGGCCAGAAGGGCCAGCAAAGCGCACTCGAGTGACCAGCCCTGCTAGCACCAGCCGCCCCCCACCAGTCCTGACCCTCAGCTCTGCTGAAACAGAAGTCGACTTCACCCCGCTCACCAGGGAGATCTGGGTAATCTTCATTTTTGAGGTGAGAATGGGGACTTTTCTCACTTATCTGAATTATTTACATGAAAACTTACTTTAAAAAGCTCGGCTGGTCTTCAGCTGGTCTCATGCACTGGGCAAGTCTAGGTGCAGAAGAAGACCCTAGAGGCCAAGACCCCTCCCTTAGGAAGCATGCCTTGTGGACTGAGTCCTGGTCACTGCGGCCTTGGAGCCGGTGTCCGGCCCGTGTCTGCCCTCCGCGCTACGATGGGCCTGAGGGTCTGTGTGTGGTCGGCCCCTCTGGCCAGACCTCGGGCAGACTAGCTGAAAGACGCCTGGCTGGGGTCTGGGTGTTGCCAGTGTGCTGGTCTGCAGCACGGCAGCTGCGCGTTTCCTGAAAGCTGTACTTTGCACCTTCAGGCCCAGGGGGTCCCCTCTTTACAAAGTCCCTTCTCCTTCCAAGGCCGGCAGGCTATCTGGGCTTGGGCAGAGCCCATCCACTCAGTGGGTGCCCCCAGTACCTCTCCCTCACAGGTCCAGCACAGCCAGTTCCTCCGTCCTTCTGGATGATGCGGTCGGTAGTCTGCGGGTGCCCAGCGAGCATCAGCCAGCTCTGGCGTGGCCCACAGGCTCCTGGTGAAACAGTCAGAAGACAGGGTGGGGCTCCAGGGACCCGACAGCCAGGGCGCAGCCATTCCCACGGGGCTTCCACCCACCTGTGCACCAGGCCCCATGCTCAGAGAGGCCACTTGTACAGGACCAGACTCAGGCTACTGTTCAGCACACTGCCCCAGCCTGTCCGTGGCCCCTCCCCTGAGCCTGGAGACCGGCCCTCCGTCACCTCCTGCTCTGCCCTTCTCGGAGAGCTCCAACCTTGGCGGGCTGCACTCTGGCTGGCCCGGCGGGCGCTGGGCACCGACCCCACGGGTGACTTGCTCTTCTGTGTTTCTTTGTGACCTGCCGCACCATTAGGAAAAGAGGAGCTCAGCCTGAGGGCAGGATCCCTGAGGAGCCCTAATTACCCAGGATGAGTCAGCAGCTCTGCGCGGCAGGACGTGGGGCAGCGCCTGGCCACGGCCCAGGCTCAGGGCTCCAGCAAGAGCTGCCTCTGACCCGGGAGGCCCAAAGACCCCTTCCATCCATCTTACCTGAGTCCTTGGGAGCTGGAGGACAGAGGGAAGCGGGCTGAGAGATTTTCAAAAAAAAGGCTCGTATTTCTGTCCCCTAAAGTCAGGCCTCCGGATGACCTCCACTGTGATCTTGAATGCCCTGGGATTGCCTGCCCTCAGGACAGCATCTGCAGAAGCTAACCCCCAGCACTGGGATCTCCTTGGTCTTTGCTGCTCCTCTCTTTCCTGCCGCAGGGTCCTCCAGGGGTGGGAGTCTTACAACCAAAACCAGAAAGAAGAAGGTCAGGGACACTGCCCAGGTGTGACACATGGGTGTGCCAGGAGCACTGCCAGAGGGCGCTCACACCCTCTGTAGGTCAAGGGCAGAGGAGGAGGGGCCAGTCCACGTCCCCAAGTCCTGAGGGCCCACTTCTCCCTCCTTGCCCCCCTGAACCCGCTTTCCTGTATCAGAGGGGATGCTGTGATCAACTCCCACCCCTGTTCCTTTGAGGCCCCACTAGCAGAAGACGCATGTCCCACCCCTGGGTCAGAAAGATCCCCTGGAGGAGGGCATGGCAGCCCACTCCAGTGTTCTTGCCTGGAGAATCCCATGGACAGAGGAGCCTGGTGGGCTACAGTCCACAGGGGTTGCAAATAGATGAGCATGACTGAGTGACTAAACAACAGCAAGTCTCCCCTTTCATCCCAAAAGCCCGTGTATGGGCATCTGAACCCCTGAAGGGGCTAGCCGTGAGGGACCTGCTGCTCTCTGTCTGTCTGTTTGGTCTTGCCTTGTTCCCCTCCCCGTTGTCCATCCTGTGCAGTCAGACTTTCTCCATCTCCTCTGACCCTGTGGCCACGCAAACAGGCCAGGCCTTTGAGGAGGAGGTGATGCTGCCCAAGCCTCCTAAGGGCTGGGGCTTGGTACCCTGCGTGCGTTCTGGAACGCAGCCCACCCTGAGTGCGCGAGAAAGCGGGGGGGGAGGGGTCCCCATGAGAGCACGAGAGCCCCAGGCTCCCCTCGTGCCTGCCGGGTCCTCTGGGACCTCCGAGCCCGGGGCGTCTCTCCGCTGGGGAAGCAGGCCCCCTCCCCAGCACTCGGAGCCCACAGGCTCCAGTCCCACCTTCCTCCCAGCCCCGTGGGGAGCCCGGCTCCAGCCCCCACGAGTGTGGACCGCAAGGCCCCACACACCTTGGCGGGGGCACCACACCTCTTCGGGTTTGTGTCCAATCCTGGGAAGCAAGGAAGCTGAACTGGCCAGCTGTTCATGCGTCTCTCCATCACTTCACTTACTCACACAGGGCCACATCCGGAGCCCAGCGCAGGAAAGCAGGGGTGGGCCTCTCTCACCCTCTGGGGGGCGGCGGGACAGGCGCCCCCACAGAACCCAGGCTGTGAGCCTGTCTCTGTGTCCTGCCAGGACCTTCCAAAGAGGCCAGCTCCCCTCCAGAGGAGGCCTGCTGCCCCAAGGCCCAGCTGACCTCATGCTCCCTCCACAAACGGGCGTGAGGACGCCTGAAACCGGGGATGCCATGGAAACGGGACTTCTTTCCTGTCGGTTGACTCCTGCGGTCAGCATGCCCCATCCTTCCAGCCTTCCCAAACCAGACTCACGGCTGGGCCTCTGCATCCCGAGACAAGCTGTGGGACCCGCGGGGAGGAGGGGCATGCTCAGTTCTGCACCTCGACACAGGGCACGCTGAGACTGGACTTGGCAGTCACGTGGGTGACTGTGTCAGGAATGGAAGGGCTTATGACCACAACTGCTGTGTTCAGACGGCAGATTCAGCAGGTGAGGGACTGGCTGGCAAATGTACTGAAATATGGGGTCCATTTCTAATCAAGATAAAGGAGCGGGGACACGATGCCTGGCCATTTAGGATGCAAAAGCCTATTCAGAGAAGTAAATATGGGCTTCAGATGGAATCTTAAAGAATGAGAAATCAACTTACAGCCATGATGAAGCTAGGGCCAATTTCGTTCCACCTTCTGAGAACCTGAGTGTTTGTTTCAGAAGAAGAATCTTCCCACCAATGTTGCTCCAGGAGCCCAGCCTTCCTTCATTCCGCCCTGGTTAACAGTCATTGTTCTGAACCAGGGGGAGGCTGAGCCCCCAAGGGCAGAGGAGCCGTTCCAGGAGGCAGCAGAGGGTTCGCCTCCAAGGTCCTGAGACGTGTGACCTTCCCCAGAGGTGAGGCCTAGTGCGGTGTGTGGTCAACCGCTGGGTTGGATGTGGGCGCCTCACCCACCTGGTGGGGTCTTGTCCCCTTAGCCGTGCCTGAGGACAAGCATAAAAAGAATTTCCCAAGGTCTTCTCTGCTCAGCCCTCCACCCTCACACCACCCTCGCACAGCCAAGCCCTGCTGAACTCTAGGGCGTGTGTCCCCTGAGAGAAGGTGCAGGGAGGGGGTCCCCTCAGTTTTTCAGGCCCTCCCCAGAGCCCATCAACAGGGGCCCCACCCTCTCCTGTGACATCAGAAGAGGGCTGAGTGAAGCCAAGAGGGCCTGACGCTGGGCCTGTGACAGGAGGGGCCTCTCTGGATTCAAGGGCCCCACAAGACCCTCACATCCAGGACAAGGAGAGGTAGCCTTCGTCCATGGCGGGAAAGGAGGGGTGCAGGGTGTGGAATTGAAAACAGAAGGTGGGAGAAGATGCCACGTGGATGGAGAGGAGGCCCTGATTCCTGCCACCTTGACTCTCAGGAGGGGTCTGGTCAGTCAGATTGAAATCAAGTCAGCTCACACATGGAAAGGATCAAGCGGTCAATAATTTGACTTAATTTTTCGAGTTATAAGTGAGTCAGGGCCGTGATCGTCTCTCTCTAAGCCATTGCCAGCCCTAACCACCCCTGTTTCTGCCCCTCCCCGTCTGCCAGTGACCACCTGGCCGGCTGGACCCCGGCCTCTGGAGCCCTGCTGCCCACCCACTGACCCTTCAGATTCACCCAACCTCTGACTCCTGCAGCAGGTATTCCCAGACGTGCTGGGCCCCAGAGCCCTGGAAGTGGAAGAAAGCCTAGGTGTGAGCCCCCCGACAGCCGTCCCACTTCCTGCTGCCCTGTCACAAGTCATCGTGCTGAGTAGCTCAGCGCTGCTGAGGCCAGAGGTCTGGGAAGGGCCTCCCTGAGCAGGAGATGAAGGTGTCGGCAGGGCTAGCCCTTGTGGAGTCTCCTGGGGAGAATCTGGGCTTTTTCCAGCATACAGAGGCTCCTCCGTCTGCAAAGGTCCTCTGTACTGAGTCAGGATCCTGCTAGCCCCCACGCCACCACTGGGTGACAAGCTCCTCACCTCTGTCCTGCTCCCCCAGGGTTCCCAGGTCCATCAGCAGATCTCAAGTGGCACTGAAGGAAACTTTTGCATCAAGACTCAAAGCGAAGCTCCACTGGCAGCCTTGTTGGGTGACCACAAACCTGGACCCTGTGCAGGCTCACCTGGCGTCCCCAGGTAGTCCTCCCAGAAGCCGCCCTCCTTCGCAGGCAGAGATGCGACTGACACCCGCCAGCCCCTCTGAGCAAGTCAAGAAGCTAATTGCAGCTAGTGTTCAGGAGCTCCAGGGCCCAGGCTCCATGGCCCACCAAGGGCTGTGCCTCGAGCCCTCCTCCAGGGCTGCAGATGAATGCCCCTCGAGTCCATGTCCTGATGCCAGGAACCCAGGAATGTGGAATCCAGGGTGCTGGTCCAGTGACCCCGAAGTGGACAGTGTCCCAGACTATCCGGGGCCCCGGTGTGATCACAGGTGTAAGGCTCCACACAAAAGTAAGTGAGGGGCAGCCGAAGAGGTCAGTGTGGTGTGTGGGAAGGACTCGTTCTGACCTGCTGGCCTCAGAGATAGAGGGAGGGACCATGAGCTGAGGAAAGCAGCCAGATAAGTTGGAGACAGACCCACTGTGGAGACGAATTCCCCCTGGAGCCTCTAGAAAGTGGGCACACTGACCCGGGAGGAGCACCATGGAGCTTCTAAGCAAATTTGGGGAGGAGGGGCTTCCTTCTGACTGAGCTTATGAGACAGAGCAGAGTCTGCAGAAAGCGTGTTTACATTTTTTCAAATGTAAACTGGACTAATTGTCAGTAATGTTAAAAATAACCTGCTTTTGTAACTGGATTTAGCGTTTGCAACGCAGGCACATCAGCATGTATTAACCTCTGAGAATATGGAGACTGCAGATGGGACTTGACTGGGCAAGGTCAAGGCACTCACTCAAGGTCACCTGGCTACGATACAAGTGATGCTGCGAAGAGGCAGCACCGCTTCCAACACTGCCCAGTACAGACAGACACTGGAAGACTCACCTTTGATGATAAAAGGCAAGGGCTGCTTTCAAAATTAAACTCACTTGCCATGTCTTAGCAACAAGAACAGTGAGAATACGAGTGATTTCTGAAACTGTTTTTCCAAAGCTTTACCTGAGTGAAAACCCCATAACAGAAGGCCTATTTGGGACTAGCCTCCAAAAATCCTTCTGGGGGAGGCAGTGTGCTAGCTAGGACATGAACCCCTGAAGCCTGTCCCCTCGCTCATCCTG